TCTTCATCGCCGAGGACGGCAGCGGAGTCAGCCGAGGTATACGGCACCCGAACCTCCTGCGGCCAGGGGGTAGGGTCACGCAACCGATCTTCAAGTGAGGACAGGATGGCAACGGTTGACCCAGGATGACTGAAGCTTACTAAGTCCCCATCAGATAACTCGACTTCACTGTCATCAGGCAACGGCCACGGCATGTCCTTGGCGAAAACCAGAACAAAGGGTCTCTCCTGGAAACCCGCAACCTGGAGTAAGCCCCTGCGAGTTGCCCGTCTGGGCAGGTCAACAGAAAAGAATCTGCCATCTACTTGCCTGGCATCAAGGGCGACAAACACCCGTTCAGTGTACCAAAACGGTTTGGCAACTAGATAGACACAATCCCCATCAGGCTGCGGCGCGACGGGGACAAGACTGGGAAAGTGAAGCCATCTAATTGCGTCCCTGGCAGCAGCGACTGCAGCGAGCACGATATTCAAGGTAGTAGGCATGGGAGTGTCGACAAGGAGGCGCTCACCGTCATAGTCCGGCACGAGAACAAGACAGGGGACCGCACCTTGTAGCAAGGCTGTGGCCTGGCCGCCACTGGAAGCCTCCGCATTGACAACACTTGGGTCTGAACCAGGCAAAACCGTGGCTCCTTCAGTTGCTCCGGTGCCAGTCGGGCGCTGGCCCCCGTCAGCGCCGGCAGACGCTGGAGTACTAGAGGAAGAGCCCCGGCCGCAGTGATCTCGACGACCCGTGGCACTAGTGGCGAGTGTGAGCAGCGCCCAAGCGGCAATAACAAGAATCCAGCCAAGGAGGTCACTGCAGCCCGCCCGAAAGCCTCTGACATCGACAGCCTTTGCGTCAGTGCAGTGAGCAAGAGTTCCCGGCAAAGAGCTGGCAGCGATCGACAAAGCCGCAGCGCGACCACCGTCAAGCGCTCCACGATTCCGCCTACGCCTACCCCTGGGCGAGCGGCTCCGAACACAGGAACCGGAGGCAAAGCCTCCTGTGGCGAATTCATGATCAGAACCCCCATCAGAGCCAGAACCAGAGTCATCATCGGCAGGAGAGGTATCAGCGTGGCTCGACTAGAACCTGGACCGCCATCATCTATGACACAATATTAAGCAGTCAGGACTGCCCTGTCACGCAGTCGAAGGACCGTGCGGCCTTCGATGAGTTCCGGGAACCCACCGTGAATGCAGACACTATGCCCCTGTGGAGCACCATCGCTGAACTCACGCTCAAGGTCGGTAAGAACAGCTCTGCCAAACGGGAAAACCTTCCAGACAATGCCTCTAAGTATAGGCCGCAAGTCGATGAATACAGTGACCGCATCGTCTTTCCGTCGTTTGCCCGGCGGTACCGGAACGGCTGGGGTTGTGTCCGTAACGATGACGACGGCCTTGCACTTAGTGCCTTGGCAAACACCATCCTGGATCCTCGGGTCAGAGGAAGTGACAGTGACTTTCCATTCCTGCAGTTGCAAGAGTTCAGAAACGTAGTGGGCGAAGGCTGTAGTCCCCTCTGGATGCGGAACAAATCGGACCCTTTTCTCCCCACCGTCGGTGAGGACCCAGAAGCTCGAACACTGTCCACTATAGACATGTGGTGGCTGGGACACCCAACCCTGAACGTCAGCGAGTCTATCCTGCAACCGAAGAACAGGCGGAAAGGATATGTACTCAGGGAGTACAGTCAACAGGTCGCCCTTTGCGAGTGTAAAGGGCCGACCCGGCACAAGCATGACGCCATTGCGGAGTAGACGCCAACCCTCGCCCTCATCAAGGGAAGCCTGAGCAACAAAGGAACCCCACTGTAACCAAGCGTCGGTGCACAAGGCAAAGAATCGAAGATCCCATTGTCTGGCATCAACAAGCACGCAAATCCGATTCTCAGCCCAACGCGGAAGACAAAGTACAGTCCCAAAGGCAGCATCAGGCTGGTACGGCATAAGGACAAGGTGGGGAAAGTACTGGGCGAGCGGCCCTGTAACAGCATGCTCGATTTGCGGAAGGAGCTGCTGAACAGTAGTAGGGAGAGTGAGCTGGCAGCACACCTCAACGGACGAGTGGTGCGGCGCGTAGAGTGCAAACCAGAGCTCTGTTTGGCGTTGCTCAGAAGCAGGAGCGCTGGCAGGGACACCAGACGTAGCTCCCTCGCTTGCAAGAGCACCCATGCGCAGAAACAGTGTCCCCAGGGCTGGGCTGCGCAGGAAGAGGCCCAGGGTCGGCAGAACAAGGACCTATTCCAAAGGGAGCGGCAGCAGGGCCTCGGCCTGTGGTGTCAGGGGTGGATGGCCTAAAGTCAAGGACTAAGACCCTACCGTCCGAAACCTGAATGTGAGACGCCTGGGGATCCTCACCAACAATAACAGGCTCGTAGCCGGCTGGGACTTTCACATCAAGATACCTGAAGATGTGCCAAATGGGATGCCTCGCTCGAGCCACGAAGGGATGAGAGAGCCCTCTCCCTATCCTTCTCGCATCTAGAAAGAGGAAGGATCCTAGATTCGGTCCCGGCGGAATGTTGTCAGACCGAAAAGAGACTGCAAGCACCCGTTCGCAGACGTGGCCATCATAAAGGAGATCAGTGAAAGCATCAGCAACTGCAGGCGTTCCAAAGGACAATTGTTCAATCTCCCGGTACCGATGCTCAGCTATTGCCTGCCGCAAGTCTGTCTCCGGTGTGGCTGGGAAATAACGTCAGTACTCCTCAAAGATCGCGAGGGACCCATTGGATGACGACTCTGGCGGGAACGGGGGGTCGAGACGCCGCCACAGTGCCGCAAGTCCACTTGGGAACTCGGAAAACCAGACCGGAACTTGTCCAACTGGAAGAAATTTGAAAATCTGACCTGTCTTGACCCATGTCTCTGCACCAGGTGAAATCGGCGACAGGCTGCCTTGTGTAAAGACTCTCCAATCACCCGAGATATGTCGCCGAGCTGTTTGCTCCAGCATGGAGAAAAAGACCTGCGGCCACACCAAGGCAGACTTAAGTCGCTAAAGTCAAAGACGATGATTTCCCTCAAGGATACCTTCAACCAGGCAGGGGACAGAACGCAGGTCACGAAGCCATCGCAGGGCTGCGGCTGAACAGGCTGGAGGCAATAGTCTTCAACGCTGTGACCAAGTTGCTGACACGCAGTTGCAAGAAGACCCTCTGGTGGAGCGTCAAAGCTCGTTAATTGCGTGCGCTGGGGTCTAAAATCAGGAGAGAGAACGAGGAATCGTAATGAAGGGCTCCCAACCTCTTCATCAAGATGCTCTCGAAGAGCAGCTTCCTGAACCTGGGCAACAGCGGTAGGCCAGAAGCTGTTAGAAGAAGACGCGTCACCACTACTTGCACTAGGGACAGCCCCAGCAATCTCTTCTGGTGAAAGGCTGGGGAGTCTATCTGTCAGGGAAACAAGCTCTGCAACGCCGGTCGGTGCAGCCCATACCCTGGTGGGGACGGAGCATAACCCTATAATCAGACAGAGCCGTTTAAGTCCAAGGGCAACACCAAAGAAGGACCTTGAAGCTGCCTGTGACCTTTTGCGCCTGAAGACGAGCCGGACACCGCTGCAAGCTTGTGCGGAGCACTCTGAAGGGGCACACTTGCCAAGACCCCCAAGCGGCCGCAGCACACTGCCAGAAACCCCGGTGCCATCCGCAAGGCCAGCTCGTCGACCACCGCAGGACACTCGCTTCATGCCTACCCTGAGGAAGCCCAATAAGGAAATCAGTGTGATGCCTGAGAACGTCCGAGCAATCGAATGCAGAAACGCAGCGAACCCAGTGCAAGCGGTTCCCCAAAGGCCAAGGAAGCCGCAACCTGTCTCGTCTGCAAAGTGGTCAAGCGAGGTCTGCGCCCCAGAGCTACCGATGCGCATGTTTAGCACTCTCGCTTGTTGGCCCACATCAACTAAGCCGACCGGAACAGACGACTCATCAAAACTGTGAAGACCAAACGTCCCTAAAGCCGAAGCTGAACCGTCGCCAAAGGGCACATGCTCGGAACAGGAGATCTCACAAGCGGGCAATGACTGTTCTGCGTTGCAAAACGGAGAGGAGCCCCCGGTTTCAAAACCCCAGTGAAGCCGGAGTACCTCTGAGGACGGAGCGGCGTTGGATTCGACAAAGGCCACAGCCAAAGGCAATGTCGGAGCAAACCCGCAGCGAGGTGTGAGGTCGCCAAGAAACGATTCCTTCCTGTACAAGAGCGCGTCACATCTACCTACTGTGTGAAACCGGAAAGACCAACAGCCTGCACTGTCAGAGCCTGCTCGTGCACCCCATTGACCTGAGGGAAACGTTAGGTCCCAACAGACCGACCACAGTCTGTTGCAACCGGTTGGTCCCCATAGCCTGGAGATGCAAATGCCGGCCCGAGATTGCTGCTGCGACTTTTCCCTACCAGTAGAGATGCATGCTACTCCATGTTGGTAAGGCCCGGCGAGCGAGCCAAAACATCCATGTCCTGGTCCTCGTCCGAAAGGATGTCGCCCGCGCTGGTACTGGCTCGACCGGGGTCCGTTGGTCCTGTGGGTGCAGTAGCAAGAGAGTCTCTTGCCATATCCCTCGCCGAAACGCCAGGAGGGCGTGCGCTGCCCCTGAAGGGCATCAAAGCCTTGCTGACAGTTTCCGCAACCTGCTTGATTTGCTTGGGGTCCAACTTGGGTGGCGGGGGTCCACTGCCAGGGGCTGCACTTGTTGCAATCGGGTACGGAGCGATTCGCGATCTCATCGTACTCGGAGAAACCGCAGCATATCCAGCAGCGGCTGAAAGACCTGGAGGTTCCAGGGCCGGATTCATCAACGATGCTGCTGCGGGCGGAGGCTCCGCTCTGGACACACTCACGTGACCCTGCCTGCCTGCCTGCCTGCCTGCCTGCCTGCCTGCCGGCCTGCCTGCCTGCCTGCCTGCCGGCCTGCCTGCCTGCCTGCCTGCCTGCCTGCCTGCCTACCTACCTATGTGTGTAGCTATACCCTGCATGCCTGCCTACCTTGCCACTAACGCAACACCGCAGCCAGGTCGAGGACGGCGCTCGCCACAACTTCTCGCCGGCCTCTGTGCGCCACGCAAAGGGCCAGGGGTCTCAGACAGTGGCTCGTGGCTGTTTTCGTCTCCGACTTCGTGACTTTTTCCGGCAATCAACGAAAAGCCTAGATGCCCTGGGCCGCAGACTGCACCTCCGAGGTCTCTTCGTGGCCTCCGCTCCATGCTCCGATCTGCCTGGCTGGGGCCCGGGGCCCAGCCATGATTTAGATTCTGGATGTAGTCCTTTGTAGTCCAGCATGGTATGGGTGTCTGTGTGTGTGTGTGTATGTGTGTGTGTGTGTGGGTGTGTGTCGTGCTCAGGCATGGAAGAGACAGACCTCGATGCGCGCATGATGGTGCGCCGTCTGACTGCTATTCGGGATAGGAGCCGTCCCACGCACTTCTGCGAGTGCTCCCTGAAGGCCCAAGCCACCGAACCCGTAAATCCTGAAACCATTCACTATTCAACCCCAATCCTGAAACCCCTCTCAAGCCCTGAAACACACCCCTTCCTTTCCCCTTCGTGGCTCTGCACAGTCACTGACGTCCTGGTTGGACTTGCTCTGCCAGCTCGGCGCCCGGCGAGCCTCGAAACTTTGGAATTTATCATGTCGACGAATCTGTTGTCTAGCGTAAGAGATGATATAGCACAGTGTAGGACATGCTTGCATTTTGCGATAGTGAGGTTTAATCTACTAGGCGGGCCTTTTGGACACTTTAGTTTTTATCGTTGGCCCTTAAGAGGGTGTTATTTACGAGTATGTTTCAACGGCGGTAAAGGGCCAACCTAGTATAATATAACCGCAGTCTATCATCCGAAAGCCATATGTATGATATGCTTTGGATGGAGTTGTAACCTTCACTCACGCGAAACAAGAGCGAAACTTCAAGCGCCTTGCCTCTTAGCCCTCATCCATATCCATAACAACGACGACAGCCTGTTGGCCGGGGGTTTGTGCGGGTTTCTGATCTCCAGGATTCGAGAGTTCCAGCTTGCTAGGTGGATTGAGTGCCCGACTGGCCATAAGAGCAAGCTTCTCAAGCTGATGTTTCTGCTCGGGCAATACTCGGGAAGCTTCGGAGTGAGAGGCCTGGGGCCGTGCTCCGGACAGATTTATCGCTGTTTGCAAGAGCACATAGCTTGCGGTGTAGTTGGGAGCAAAGCCGAAGCAGCCTGAGGTGCCAAAGACTCCAATCTTTGCCCAGGTGCAAGATCAAGCACGTGCTGTGTCTGATGGGAGATGAGGCATCCTAAGAGCATGTTGTTGCTCAGTTTCCGGTGCTGCACTAGCCAATAGCTGAATAAGCTGAGGTCTCACCTCTGCATATAGCGTCATAGTATGAGATCTGCCCCCTTGCCCGGCAGCTTCTTTAACAGTCTGGCTCGAACCCGGCCCTCCTATTCCCGGACATGGCTGACGAGAAGGTGGGACCTTGTCTTGCTGCTCAAAGTAGATCTGATTGTATGTCAGAGCCTCGCTGCGAGCTAGCATCGACATACCCAAGACGAAGCACCGACGATTCTTTGGAACATAGCCCTCGAACTTCAGGCCTAGTCGCTCAAGCCCCTCTGAAGCAATCTTGGGCAAGGCGTAGGATCTTCAGTCACCATTCGCCGAAGAACGCATGTTGGGGTGCCCATGGCGATATAGCTATATAAAGTCCTATACAATACAGTACCTCAAAGCCCTAAACCCCAAACCCTAAAAGTCTGGGCCATTTTCGATCCCTGAGCTCTTGCCAAAGATCACTGTTTCAGCAGATCACCTTGGATCGTCGGAGTGCACTCAAACGGGAGTTTCAGAAAATCAGGCATGCTGAAAGAGAGACCTTATTTACGGCCCAAGATAGCCCCCAACCCTCAACCCTGAAGCTTAGACCCACAACCCCTAAACCTTAAACCCTAAAGGATCGTGGAGAAGGAAGTGGCGGGTCACAGGGTCATCGTCGTCGGGTTGAATGAGAGGCTAGTCAGATGTGCCTTCTGCGAAAGCGGATTCCGCCGACCTTAACTGCTAGGAGGAAAAAGGTGCTTAAAAAAAAAAACCTAGGCCCTTAACAACAAACCCCGAAACCCTCATATATATATATATATATATGTATAGGCCCGTAACAACAAACCCCGAAACCCTCAACCCTATATATACAGGTATATATATATATATATATACCTGTATATTTATAGATAAATAAATAAATAAATATATAAATATAAATATATATATATATATATATATATATTCTAAGGCCTCTAAGCCTCGGAAGGCCGCGCCGGCGAGCGCCTCCGCAGGCGATGCAGCCGCCGGCTTGCCCTCGGAAGCCCCTGCCGTAGAGGTCGGAGGGTTTTTATCAAGCCGATTATGTTAGGGTTTAGGGTTAGGGTTTAGGGTTTAGGGTTTAGGGTTTAGGGTTTAGGGTTTAGGGTATGGGGTCTTATGATGGGGGGGAGGGTAGCAGAGGAGAGTTCAGAGCTTAGGGAAGTAAGTAAGGCTTGACACGGGTGTGTTAGGTCCTATGTAGGCAGTAGATGTAGGGCATCAGGTGCTATGTTATTCAAATATCGAATTCGATGACATCTAGTTGTTGCAGAGTTTATGCGATGGATTGACAGCGCATGGACAGTTTTGAATGCAGAAAATGCTCCGTCGCATCAGGCATTCCCCCATGGCGAACATGTCTGTCTGGAGGCCGCGGTGACTGCATCATGTTACATGTTACTCGTGTCAATGTGGATGTATGCAAGCTCTGCAGACGTGATGTCCTAATCATTGGCATGGCCTGGACGCTCGTGTTTCCGTGAAGGTATCTGCACGGCACGAGGCTTGCCTCCAGAAGTGGCAGGCGGCAGCAGCTTTACATCGTCCAGTAGCTGCCGCACGATGGCTATTCTCATCAGCAAGGATCAGCATCACCACCGTGACCGCCATCGGAATCAGCACCATGGCATTTGCCATCGCCACCGCCGTCATCATTGTTCCAGTGCCCACCTGTGGTAGACACCACCCACATCCGTTCTGAGGAATCCCGCTCCGTCTCGACACCTTGAAAATGATCTCTGGATCCCGTCCCTTCAATGCTAGATACCGAATCCCGCAAGTCTAGAGCCTGATCGGGCTTAGAAGCATGTTGAATCCTCAAGAGTTTCAGACCCCAACCCTGCCTGCTACAGACTCCGCACCTATACTATTTTGGGGGCTCCTTCCTCATTATAATTATAGCAAAATATACCCCGAAACCCTATTCTAATGATTAAGGCACCTTCTTATAGAACCCCTTATCGTAGTAACCCTTATAGGACCTCTTTAAAGGAACCCTATTCTAATGATTAAGGCCCCTTTAGTTCACACCTTCAGGCGCCGTGCTGCCCGTACTGTGGCAAGCGCCAGGGCTTCATCTTCGGCCTCACAGGCACGGCGCTAGGGTTGAGGGTTTAGGGTTTTAGGGTTTAGGGTTTGGGGTTTAGGGTTTAGGGGGGAGGTCTTGCACGGGCATTAAGCCAGGGTCTCTCAAAGAGAGGTCCCTTCAGGGCACCCGAATTCACGGAACTCTCCATATGCATGTGTGACGGGGAAGTAGCGCTCGATTCTAGCACCAGCGGATTAGGTAATATAGGGGCCTCAATAAATTACCAATACTATTGTGGGGACTCCTTATCATAATCATAGTACAATGGGCCCCAACACCCTATCCTAATTATGAAGGCCCCTATAGTAGGCGGGCCGCGAGCCTAGTTCGGTTTGCCCCATCCGACTTTCGAGTGTGTGTGTGTGTGTGTGCTCGGGTTGGCCCTGAACCCCAAATCTCGGAAGTCCCGCGAAGTTCTACGTTTCGGATTTAGGTTTTTGGGGCTTTTGGGGTGTGGGGCTTAGGGCCGGTCCAATGTTATTTATGAGGTATCCACTGATAACTGCAACCCTGAAACCAAAATCTTCCTAGCTAGGTCAATCTATTCTGAAACGCTCAACCTGTAATCTTCAGAGCCTTCGAGTAAGCTTCCCGGCCCTCTGCCAGACCCTAAACCTTCTGTAGACCCCACACTCTTCGAAAAGGAGGCAACAACGAAACCTAAACCTTGCGTAAACTCCCAACCCCTCTCTCCATCCCACACAAGAAACCCGTAAATGAAAGACTACGGAACTACCCAAAGTTTCCAAACCCTTGAGCACGAAAGACGTTGAACAAGCAGAACGCACCAATCAACAACAAACGAGCATTCAAAACCCTAAACCTCGAAAAACCCCTTAAAACACGTCACCTCAAACCCCAAACCCGAGCCCTAAAGTCGGAACCCCCCCCCCCTAAAAAAACCGTTCAACGATCAACCCTAAAAAACCTAAGCCTTCTCAAACCCTGAACCCCTAAACCCTAAACACCGAAAGCCTAAACCCTAAACCCCGAAAGCCCTAAACCGCTAAACCCTAAGTCCTAAAACCGTAAACCGCTAAACCCCTAAAGCCCTTAAACCCTGAAGCCCTAAAACCCTAAACCCTAAACCCTGAAGCCCTAAAACCCTAAACCCTAAACCCTAAACCCTAAACCCTGAACCCCAAAGCCGACCTCCCCTGCCAGGATTTGGCCTTCGACTTCGCGGCCACGCGGAGCGCTGCAAGCGCCGCTGCGCCGATCCCCCGGAGCAGGCTAAGCGAGTTTAGGGCTGAGGGTTCGAGGGGGTTTAGGGGTTTAGGGGTTGAGGGTTTGAGGGTTTTGGGGTTTAGGGGTTTAGGGGTTTAGTGTTTGGGGTTTGGGTTTTTTTCTCGGGTTTTGAAAGAGGGTTCAGAATTTCGGGGTTTTGGGTCGTTGGCTTTTTGGCTTGTTTACGGTTTCGTGGTTTTGCGTCAGACAAGATTTCGGGGTGTTGCGTTATCCAAAGGTAAGGGTAAGGGGGTTTCGTATTTTGGTGTATTCCATGGTGAGGATTCTGAAGTTTTGCTTCTCTCACGTCGAAGGTCTTAGGTGCAGAGGCTTGCACATGTTGCAGCCTTGGGATTAGGGCTTTTGGGGTTGTAGCGGGCTGGAAGATCTGGGATTAGGTAATGAAGGTTTAGGGTTCAGGGTTCAGGGTTTAGGGTTTCGTGAGCTCTGCCAGCTTCTCCAGCTTTATGCCCAAGTGGTGCTTTCACCACTACACCACTGAAGTAGCTTCCACTTCTCGGCCCCCTCTTCGTACTACAGTTACTGCCGCCGCAAATATGAATGACACGCGGAAGCACAAGAAACATCCTAGGACCACCTTGCGTACACCGAGGTAGTGAGACAAAGGGCAGTAACACGATACACCTTCAAGAACCAGCGCAGACATGAAGAGTGACTGCAAGGAGCAATGTGAAGGCGAGCTGAAAGATGAAATACGTGCTTGTAACCTGGTATTACCGAGGATATAAGAATAAAAAGACTCGTCAAACAGTGCAGTTGTTAGGACGAGCCAGAAGAGAGTTGCAAGAAGGGGAGGAGTAGCAGCAGAGGCAGTAGTCCTCGTCGTAGTAGTAGCAGACTGTGTTGACTTGCTCATACCATTGTCATCAGTGTTCGTAGTAACGGTTTCAGCACCAGCGCCAGCATTTCTGAGTCTCTCACACGTTCGTGGTGCAGGTTGCCCGGTCCGACCAGGTCAGCTCCGAGCCCCCTTTGCCACCCGGTCGCAGCTGGTGTTTGATCGGAAACGGACCGGCTCTTAGTGCTGGAACATCCTTAACCGTGAACCATCTACCCTAAGCCGTAAGCCCCTGACATGAGCCCTAAACTGCAAGCCCTGAGCCCTAAACCCGAAATCATAACCCCCAAGCCCGGAAAGAAATGGTTTGGAGTGTGGGGTTTGGCCGCCAGATTCTGCGAGCCAAGGCATGAACAAGTGAAGGAATCAACGGGATGAGGGTCTACCAGGGGCTACTATAAGCGTTAATATGCTTCATACCGGCTGGTGTAGTTTATTAAGGGCTAAAGGGGGTTGCAATAGGGTTACTATAATAAGAGTTACTATAGTTTATTATGGTCACTACGTTCTTTAGGTTTCTAGTGGTTACTGTAGGGTTTGCTACGTGCGGGGTACTAAGATTCTTGGGCTTGCGATAGGGGTTTCTACGGTTGTTACTACAGTTGCCATAGGCGGGCTGTTCAGTTCTGCTATATGCAAGTTTAGCCCTGCAGACGTCCTTACTCTCGTAGACCTGCATTGTGTAATGAAATAGCGATATTCAGTTTGACAGTGCCCAAAAGGGGTCTTTGCACACTTCCTAAACCCTAAACCCT